TTTGTGGTGTCTCCTGTAATGCTTCTTTTTCTTCTTTTTGAAGTAGAAAAGATATTAACAAAAAAAAAAAATAAAAAAACGTGAAAATGAATAAAAAACAAATCTTATTTAAAGAACTTAAATTAATCTTATCTTTTTATTTTCATAACACCATGCTTCAACATGGATTCTTTTTAAATAATGGAAAATTTATGCCTGCCATTGGATTAGGTACATGGCTTGCAGCTCCAGGAGAAGTTGGGAAAGCTGTTACATTAGCTTTAGAGAATGGGTATAGACTGATTGACTGTGCTCGTTTTTATAAAAATGAAAAAGAAATAGGAGAAATGGGAATTGAACCATTCTTAAAGAACCACCCTCGAGAAGAGTTGTTTGTTACTTCTAAACTATGGATGGACCAAGTTACAAGAATAAGAGAATCTTGTTTAGAATCTATTCATGACTTAAAATGCAAATATCTTGATTTATATCTCATTCATTGGCCAATTGCTTTAAAGGTTGGTGCTTCTAATCCACCAAAACCAGAAGATTTCTTAGATATGGATATTACTGAAATTTGGCAAGAAATGGAAAAATTAGTTGATGAAGGATTAGTAAAATCAATTGGTCTTTCTAATTTCACTATTCCTCAAATTGAAAAAATTATGAAAATGTGTAGAATCAAACCAGTTATTAACCAGGTTGAATTAAATGTTTATTTACAACAAAATAAATTAAGAGAAGTATGTAAAAGTTATAATATAGTTGTTGAAGCCTATCGTCCAATTGGAGGAAAACCTGCCAATGAAAGTGATAAAAATTGTTTAGATGATGAGGTTGTAGTTAGTCTTGCGAAAAAATATAATAAAACTACTGCTCAAATTTGTCTTCGTTGGTTAGTACAAAATGGAATTATTGCAGTTCCAAAAAGTACAAATCCAAATCGTTTACTTCAAAATTATCAAGTATTTGAGTGGTCTCTTTCTAATGAAGATATGAAAGTGTTAGAAAAACGTAATTTACATAAAAGAAATGTAAAATTTGAAAATTATTGGAATGGAAAAACATATGAAGAATTTTGGGGAGAAGAACAATAAATTTTTAATTAAACTCTTTAATTAAATATTTTTTAATAATCGTTTGGAAGTCCAAATATTTTTGGGTCAAATTCATTAAGTGACTTAAGTACTGTATATGCATTTTGGAAATATGGATCTTCTGGATGTTCATGATCTGGGATTGCTACAGTGTATGCACCAGAAGCTATTCCTGCTTGAACTCCAAGTACTGCATCTTCAAATACAATTGCTTGTTTCATATCAGTACATCCAAGTAAATGACCAGCATGAAGGAAAATTTGTGGATTTGGTTTAGCTTCCTTTACATGAGGATCATCTCCAAGAACAATAACATCAAAATAATCTAACATCTCTTTTTTTCCTTTCATTTTAATATCAAAAACTGCCTTTGTTGTTGAGGTAGCAAGGGCAATTGGAATATTGTGTTTTTTAAAGTAATTTAAAATCCTCATAGCACCAGGTAATGGTTTTACTGTTGGCCATAAATTATTAAGCATTTCAATTTTATACTGAATTGCATGTTCAAGGGTGTCATTTATATGATAAGTATCAAGTAAAATTTGAGTTGACACATTGATATGTCTCCCCATTAATTGTTTCTTAACGTCATAAGTAAACTTAACTCCATTAGCATATTCATCAAGGTATTTTTGAGTAGCTATAGTGTATATTGTTTCAGTATCAAGCAATGTCCCATCAAGATCGAAGATAGCATATTTAATTTGAGGGTTTCCAGACATCAATCAAATTAATGAAGTAGTTGAATCTTTTTTAATGAGTAAAACCTAGAAATCTAGAAATTTCAAAAAGGAGTTTATTCTTCATGTTACTTTTCTTTATTTTCTTAGGTGTTGCTTTGTCACATCAGTCAGACTTTACTATTCTCCCTTCTTCGCCAACAATGCATATCTCGTATGACATTAAAAAAAATGTTGTCAAAAGTGAGTCTGCATTAATCATTGCTCATTTTAATTCAGGATTTCCTTTACCTACACACCTTATTCCAAAAGATGGTACACAACGAATTCAAATTGCAACAAAACGTCCTCACGCTGTTGCTTATAATTTTTTCAGAATAAAAGAATATTCATCTCCAATTGAAATGAATATTTTCACCTTAAATGGTAATTATTCCAATCCATCTGAAAGATTTAATGAAATTATGAGCGATTTTGCAGGAAGAAAGTTTAAAGAAATAGGTAAATATGATAGTTCAGTAATAGACTTAATACATTCGACATTAATCAGTGTTGAAACAAATGCCACTAAAGATACTGGAGACTATTATTTTGTTGAAATGGCAGGAGACCAATCATATTATAACTATAATTTTACTGAGAGTATTCTTCAAGAATATAGAAAAAGGAAAGAAGGGAAAAGTAAATATACTGAGATGTACAATTATTTGATGGATTCATTAGATAATGTTAGAAAAGAATGGGGGTTAGATGATATTCAAACAAGTGAAAGAATAGAAAGTATTATTTCCTTTGATTTTGTTAATAAAGTTTTCAATTATTCAGAAATCAGTGTTATATTTAATGAAACAATGACTATAAAATATCCTAAAATTGAAGAAGATCATATTCGATTATTAACATATTTAACATCATGTGGTACTGATATAATGACAAAAGAACATGTTTGTAAATTTACTCGTCATAGACCAGCAAATGAAAATGGACAAGTCGTTACTACTCCTCAAATTAAAAGAGAATTGCCAAAAGGTGCTTTTATTCAACACCTTGAATATCCAAAAAGTAATGCATTCAAAAATTACAGTATTGAAGTAAGTCCTTTATTTATGAATGCATCTTGTTTTCATTGTTCTGTTTATTATTTATACAATTTACCAAGCGTTGTTTATTTTAGTGAAGGTGATATTAAAAAGATTACAAACCAAAAATTAAATATAAAGGTTGTTTCTGAGTCACCATATCATTCTCATCTCATTCTTATTCAAAGAAATACATCATCATTTATTGATTCATTTTCAATTCCTTTCCATGTAATCCCAACAGCTATTTCTGAACCATTTGAAATTCAGATTCCATTAGTATTCCAGAAATGTCCAGTTCATTGTAGTCAACATTTCTTGTTAAATCATCTTCTTGAATATAATAAGAATGATTCTTCTATTCATGAAGTTTATGAAACTTCTAAAATTAATTCTATTTTATTTGGATGTACTGATACTACAATAAATCAAGTGTATGACCCTCATTGTGAAAAACAAATTGTAAAAGGAAATACACCTAAACTTCTAACTTGGGTAGATGAATTGATGAAATATAAAAATTTCATTATCATTTATACAACAAGTATTTTCGGTTTAGTCATACTTGCTGCATTCTTCCTCTAAACAAGATTCTTATTGAATTTATCACATTTTATTATTTTAAATGTTTAGTTCTAGTTTAATTAAACTTATTACAAAAATTAATAATAAAAATAATCAGAAAATAACAATCTTAAAAAAACAAATTTCAATTCTTTATAATAAATGGACTTTAGTTTTTCTTTTGGTGGGTTATTAACAAGCATTCTTCTTTTTGTTAATTCTATTGTTATTCTTAACCAACAAAGACTTCTTAAACCTCGTTTGTTTTTTTTTATTAAAACAAAAGAAATAGGAGGTATTGATAAATGTAGTTGGTATCGCTTATGATGACAATAATAAAGATAACGAAGAAAATAAAACTGTACGAGGAAGATTGAGTTGGTTCTTTTATCGAACACAAGACTTAATGAAATATCCATTAATAGTTTTAAATACAATAGTCATTGGATTCTTGTTAATTCTTGGATAAACTAATATTTAACCACTAAATCATCCGCTTTTGTGGATTATTTTAATTTTTTTTTTATTTCTCCTTTTCAGTAAAAAGAATAGTATTTATTTCATTATCCTTCTTATTAAATTCATATTAATTAATATCAAAATACTCTCATTTATTTCATTCATTCATTAATTATTTTTACTTTTTAGAGTAAAAATATATATCTTTAATGAAAAGTGTATTATTTCATTATTCATAAAATGATTAATAGATATAAAAATGTAACAATGACTTATATATATGTGTAATATTATATTCAACTTTTGTTAACTCATTTTTCTACAATCAGGTTGAACATTATTAGTTAAAGAAAATTATTAAAAAAATAAAAAAAAAAACACAGATTGAAGTAATATTCTCAGACATTAAACAAAGGATTTGTCAAATATATTTAAATTTCATTTTATAAAAGTAAAAAAAATATTTTAATTGAATAACTTAATAAATATTGAAAAAAACTTTCAATTAAAAATTTTTTTAAAGTGATAAATCAATTCCAAAAGAGAGTTGATTTTTCTGGTCTTCATAAGAATGGAAATACTGAATCTTTAATTTGAGAAGATTAGTAATTGGATGTGTAATTTGAGCAATGGCTTGTTTCTTCGAACTAATAATCAATTTACAATTTCCAACATTTTGAATATTACTACTAATTGCAGTTTGAGCTTCAAATCTTTTATTTTTAAAACATGCTTCAGAGGCAATAATAATATTATTCCATTTTCTTAATAATCTTGCACCAATTATACAAGCAGAATAATCACTAAACAATTATTATTCCAATGAAATAAATGAATAAAAAAAAGAACAAACAAAAAAAGAGAATATTTCTTGTATGGAGATTCTTGATAACAAATAAATCCAGAACTATTTTGTTGAATTTGTTTTATTCCATGAATAAGTTCTTTCACAGAAGTTTTTGTTTCATTATTATCATCATCTATTGGAGTATCTTCATTTTGTTTAATAAATACAGGTGATAATTTATTTGAAGGAAGAAGATAATTAACTCCAATAAAAACATTTTTATATATTTGTGCAACACCATTTACATTAACTTTTTGAATTGTTTTATCTTTTAAAATTGCATCAAATGTAAATGAATAAAAAGGTAAACTACTAGAAACTTTTATTTGTTGAGAATTTGTTGATACATTTATTGAAGTTTCAATTTGTTTATATCCAAATTTACTTATAATTTGAGGACAACTATTATAAGTAAATTTTGGAGTTGTTTCTGTATCATCACTTTCTCTAAATCCAAATGTTGTTTTCTATTAATTAATTTCTATTTCTTTATATTCTTTTTAAAACTAATAGTACAAACAGAGCCAAAGGCATTTACTGAAAGTGTTAAGGGAGATGGATTTCTTGTATCAAAAATTTCTAAAAATTAAGTATGTTACTAAGAATAAATATTATAAGAAGAGTATCAAACGTTTAGTAAAATTGAAAGTATCAAAAGGTGCAGTTTTACCCAACATTTAAATTAAAATAATAAGATTTAATTGTCGAATTTTTAAATTGAAAAATAAAAGTTTCATTAATTGAATCTTTTTTTTATCTTAAAGAAATTCTAAAAAAATAAATTTTAAAAAAATTAAAAAAAAAAATTAAAAAAAAATTAGATCAAAAAAACTTTAAAATCATAATTTTATTATGTTATTATTGACTCTTATTGCTCTCTCTTTTGCTGTAAATGTCCCTACAACAAAATCAAATTCTATCGATAAGTATATTCAAAAAATTCGTCTTCCAACTTGTTCATTTACAACTGAAATGTGTAAAACATGCAAAAATCATATTGTTCTTCAAAAAGACTATTGTGATAATCCTAAAAAAGATGACCAAAAATGTATTTGTTCTGCGTTTAAAGGTAATTGGAAAAACTTCTTCGAAGATGTTGAAGACACTATTAGAACTGCTGAACAAGCTTGTGCTTATGTTTGTTCAAATGGAACTATTCCTTTAGAGGGTAATATCTCTTTGAAGTCAGGAGTGTTAGTTTCTAATGGATCTACAATGGTAATGGTTCTTGCTTCACTTTTGATGATGCTCGTTTTTGTTTAATCAAGTTCCGTCTTTTCTCATTTTATGTTATATATAACTTATGTAAATCTTGCATTAACCAATAACTTTTTGCTTAAAAATTTATAACGAATTTTCTTTTTTTTATTATTTAAAAATCAACTCTAAGAAGAGTTGATTCAATTCTCTTTTTTTATTTCAAAAAATTCATCTCCAAAACAGTATATGTTCCTTCTTATCCTGTTCTTATTTCAATTCGTTGTTTCAAAGCGGTGTTACGAATATTGTAATTCAGATAAGAATGTTTTAAATTATGGAGACTATTCTGATAATAAATGTGT